GAGAGTGATTCATCTCACTGCCGAAATCAACACAAACCAGTATGTGCGTGAGAACGCGCGTGTAGGTGGTGACAGAAAATTTTTCCACGGGGCCTCACCTGCCCTTGCTATGCCACTGGCCGGTAAAGTCATCTTTATTTTTACACTAGGCCCAAATTTACACAGCCCGTGACCAGTTGGAGAAATCAAACACATTTAAGATGTCAAATCAGCTAATAATGGGTGTTGGACTGATTGATGTACTGTGGCGATGAACCGTTAGACGAATCAAAAATAAACCACTTTGATCCACCATCGTAAAATCTGGCCAGCAGAAGGTACCAGAAGAAAATAATACATAACTTGATAAAAATAACAAAGAATAGCAAGACAACGGTCTGCAAATAATACAATATACAGACACGTATCACGTGACCCAGACATATACGTATCTGTAATAGGACGCTTTGTTTTCTAGCAGACTGTAAAACTAGCTAAGATACGCAGGGGCGTCAGCGCAAGAGGGGGAGAAACATGGTTAGGGGCCTCAGTCCTCTTAAATATTTCTCGGCGGGAATAAGGACTCAAAGGACCTAACCTATTGAAGTTAAATAATAAAATTAATAATAATAATAATAATAATGTATTGAATGGCAAATACGAAAAAAAAATTAGAACTGACATTTTATATGTATGTGTGTGTGTATATATATATATACATAAAGGGGTTAAAAGGTTTCTTTGGCTTGCTCCCGGGCGATTCACATCCGAACGGTGGCACTTTGTGTCACCTAGTGCTTTATAGCGTTTGTCTTGCGGTCCTAGTGGGATTGAGGGGAAGTCAATCAGTCATTCAGCAACCTAGAACCGTGACAGTCGATTTTTTGGGGAGGGGTGGGGTGGGTAAAAGGTGTCTGAGATGGGGCAGGCGGGTAAAGGTGTCTGTGCTACCTGGTTATGACGCCCCTGATACATCGTTTAAGGAGGGGGCGGCGGGGGTAAGGGCAGTGAAGGGCTGTGAGGTTGGTCATTTAGCTCCTTGCAAAAATTGTCTTGGGGTGGGAATAGTCAGTGCACCTGAAAAACCTGTATAGCGAGCAGGGGCAGCGTTCAGTTGGCAAGGGCCCTCAAATTCCAGCGCTCCTGCGATGCGGGCTGATGTTAACATGTAAATGATTACAACAGTCCTACTCCTCCTCCTCCTCCTCCTCCTACAACCTAGCCTTGATTGTTCGCAGAACTCTGGCTCTTTACAGGTGCGCTGATGAAACAGATGAGGCTACTTCATATGCCAGACACATGCAACGTCTGTTACTCTGAAGTTGAAGCATATTTTCTTGAGACTTTCCGCGATCAATTACCCTGTTACATTTACACAAACCGGCCAAATGGATAACAGCTTTTGGTTTTCTTAACCCTTTCAAACTTACCTTCTTCTTATTCAACTTTAGCATTCTGAGCACAAGATTTCAATGCTGCAGATATCATCCGCCTCTGTCATCTCTGTGGTTGACCTTCTCTTTCCAATTAGTGACATTTAGGGTTGCATCATCTCTCCATCGTCGTCTTGGTCTGCCTCATTGTCTATTACCATTAAACTCCTTTGTGTACAAAGATTTTTCCCCCTCTGTCATCTGACACTCTCTCGATATGCCCTAACCATTTCAGTCTATTAGCCCTCGTTTTGCCAGTGATCAATGGTGATTCAAATATGTCATAAATTTGGTTGTTGCTTCTCACTCTCCCTTATCTGATGTTTACATCTTTGATGGGTCCAACGATTCATCGTAAGACTGTTTTCGAAAATTGGCACTAAGACTTCACCTCTTTTATTTGTGCTCCAAGTTTCAAAGTCATATAAAATAAAATCCTTTTCCGAAACAATCGGTCCCAGTCTGTCACTGTTGTCTATGACACACATCTGTTGTCGTACGACCTGGCTGACATCCTTATAAATAAAAGACACCGAATGACCGTTCTTTGAGCTTCTTTTGACGGATTTTTTTGTATCAGCCCGGTCATTTGTCTATCGTCAGAGGGCGGATATTGTTTGTATCAGCCCGGTCATTTTGTCTATCGTCTTAGAGCGGATATTGTTTGGATCAGCCCGGTCATTTTGTCAATCGTCTTTGGGCGAATTTTTGTATCAGCCTGGTTATTTTGTTTATCGTCTTTGGACGGATTTTTTTTTTCTGTGTATCAGCCTGGTCATTTTGTCTATCGTCTTTGGACAGATCTGTTTTATTTCCAGCCCAGACATTTTGTCTATTGTCTTTGGACGGATATTTTTGTTATCAGCCCTGTCATTCTGTCTATCATCTTTAGACGAATATTTTTAGTATTAGCCCCGCTAATTTGTCTTTCGTCTTTGTACGGATATGTTTTTTTTTTCTTTCAGCCAGGCCATTTTGTCTATCGTCACAAAATAAAAAAAAATATGCATCATATAAATTTTTCTTATTCTGAGTTCACCCTTAAATGTAATTGCGTTGTGCTCGTTTACAGCATGGCTGCGATATGTGTGCCTCGCAGCCGATACATCCGACTTTTACAGACATTGACTGACCGGATTAGCCTTCGCGGGTAGCAAAGAACGATAAGCAGGCGCTCTTTTATTCATTGGTCAGTACTTATCACATGATCATGTTCAACGCTCGCAGTTACGCGCAGTGCAACACGAACGGCTTTTAAATTAGTGATTAGAACAGGGTTGCTATATTGGCATTTTTTACGCCAGATTCCACAAATCTGGCATATTTGAAATTAAACTGGCATAGGATAATGAACTGGCATATTCTAACATATTTTGGTTGATGGTTTGGCATAAAATGACGTTTGTTTTATCTGACAACCCTGGATTAGAAAGGATTATCATCACAGCACTCCGGACAGATCTATAGGTGCTCCGATCTCTTTCTCAAAAGCTCCACAAGTGTAAAACGACTGATGACACCTGTTATGTGTTGGTTACTGAAACGTCTTGTCCCCTTAGTGAAATGCTCATCTCTTGCAAGTCCAGGCTGCACTCCCATTTGACGGTTTTTAGATGATCGCTGCTAATATATTATCTACGAAACGTTGCTTCCAATTATTATAAGACTCATTATGAAGCCTCAAGTCCGACCCCCCCCCCCCCCTCATTATCTTCGAGAATTATGCTATTCAGTCTGGTAGTCTTAGTTTCAGCTTCATAGCAAACGGGTCACCCCATCTTTGCTCCACTCCTGTGCCAACGAAAAACACATATAATGTTTATCACAGTATTAGAATTGCAGTTCATCATTGATGGTAGCAGAAGTCGCCAACAGATCAGCAGTTGCCCACGCAATCAATTTTAATCACATACGGGCCACCACAACACTGCACGACAGGCATCGCGCCATTTTCTGAATCTACAATTCACACAAACACGTTGGTCACAGTCGAAAAAACATTCCAAATGCAAACCGCAGCTCACAGGGTCACGCCATGCATTCAACTCAGAAGCTGGGCGACGAAACTATATCCAGTCTACAAATGGAGCAAAAATGCATCAGCCACTGTCCGGCAGAAGCAAAAAATTTGGCTCTGTTTCGAACAGCGCCGCTGCCTAACGTCCATTTTGACCTTTGCTATTCAGTGCTATATTGTATCATCGATAAGCACCACCCTTCCCCCTTTTATAGTTTGATTATCTAGATTCTGCAGGACTTTAGGACTTTATTCACTGATGTCTGTGTATGAGTGAGTGAGTGAGTGAGTGAGTGAGTGAGTGAGTGAGTGAGTGAGTGTGTGTGTGTGCGCGCGAGAGAGAGAGAGAGAGAGAGAGAGAGAAAGAGAGAGAGAGAGAAACACGTGCACGTGCATGTCGCTGATTAAGGTACATCCTTACTTTCCTTTTTTGTCCTATGTTGCTACTGTCATGCTATGAAATAATTTTGTCTGCCTGGCTGGCTCACACACACACACACACACACACACACACACACACAGATTGAGAGACAAGGAAAGAGAGAAAGACATCAATAAACAAAAAGACCGGCAACCAGGCAGAGCCAAGGGGAATAAATAAGTGTATTAATGAAAGGACAGACAGAACAGATGGATGGGTAATATACGCAATAATTATCAGAGACACAATACAGCATCAAAGACAACGATAAAACAGTGAACAATTAATTAAAAGAGAAGATACAATAATGGACGGATAAATAATATGTAAGAAATGAAAGACTGGTAACATGCTAGACAAAGTAAATAAACGAGAGAGAGAGAGAGAGAGAGAGAGAGAGAGAGAGAGAGAGTGAGAGAGAGTGAGAGAGGGGTGGGAAGGAAGAACAGAGGAGGAGAGACACGAAATATAAACATGTTAGAAATGTGGCTAAAACAAAGGAAACAAAGGGGAGAAAAAAAAAAACAACTAAATTTATAGGTCTGCAATAAAAAATTAGGAAAAAGAAACACAGCAAAGCAAAAAAGAAAGAACACACAACACAAAGGAAAAAAGAGAAACGGCCAGACAAAACAAATACAGGCATTAAGTCAAAACTGTCGATTTCTCTGGTGTCTATCTGTACGTCTGCCGTACCCATCACTGACTGACATGGCTAGGGGCACCGACAGCACCGGAGGCGTATCCCCGGTTGTACACAATGGAGAAGTTTATTTTCCTGGATAGACCTAGATTCCTACGCCAACCGATTTAACAGCATGCAATTTACGGAGACGTCACACTGTCTTCCAACAGCGTGTAGAGCTAGAGAAAGCGATTAGGAAATTATTGGTATGTTATTGTTGCTTTAATGACTGTTTTCACGAAATAAGCCTGTTTTCGTGACTTCAGAATCGTTAACGCCTCTGTCTGTAATCTTTGCTTGATTTCAATAAGGAAAAATACAACAGAGCACAATGTTCGAGACGCCCTTTAAAAGGTGCTCGAAGAAGAAGAAGAAGAAAAAGAAGAAGGAGAAGGAGGAAGAGGAGGAGGAGGAAAGACAACAACAACACAAACAACAACAGCAATAGAGATCACAATTCCTCACCTGCCCGTTACCAAAACGACCTTGTGTCTCAACCTTGGTAATGACCTTCAACTTGCCCAAGTCTATCTGTAAGTACTCGTAGACGTTCTCTTCGATCTGACGACGGGGACACCATGCACCGCCTTTCTTCTCGTGCCGTATTCTGAAAAGATACCATGTACCATCAACTGTCAGTTTTGTACGGCGTCACCTTATATAATAGGATCCCCGCGTGGTTTCCGGAGCTCCAGTGTGGAAGGGACAAAAAATAGACACGTTGATCCCTAACAAGAGTGTTGTAAAAGCCGATTAATTAGAAGTGTTTCTTTTGAAGTCCGAGTGCAATGCCTGAAAGGCGATTAACCGACATCTGTATACAGATAAGCCAAATCTGTAAAGCGGAGGTGCAGGTAAAACTTGAGTTTTAGAAGACTAATGTCCGGACGTGGACAAACAGTTGGTGAACAGTGGCCCGTCGATTGGTTGTGTGGTGGAGGGGGCGAGATCAGTTTTGCCACTTTGGATGTTTAACATCCAGATTTAGCATCCAGATTTGGATGTTTGCCCTTGCATTTAGATGGCTTTTTTGACGGTCAGATAGTAGATGTTTTTCTAGAAGTTTTTATTTGCAGTAAATTTATCAAATCTAACCTAAGAAACAGGATGAAATTTGACCTCGTAAATGCTATCTTGACAATAAAATTCGGCCTGATAAGTCTAGGAAAAAGCTGTTCCACTTATCAGCTCCCTAACTGAGTATTAAAAGAAAGTGGAACAGCTAAAGCATACCAGAGTCATTTTTGACCTGAAGCTTCAACTTCATCATCGAAGCAAAGTTTATCCTGTGGATCTTGTGAGGCAGACTTCAGTAAAGATGAGGACGTGATTCTATAGGGTCATATCAATTGCTATGTAATTTGTGACTCTTTCCATTTGGATGTTTTTTTCTAGATTTTTTCCACGCAAATTTATATGTTTTTAGATATGTTTTGACTCCGTTGTGGATGTTTTTTGTCAAAGAAAAGTGGCAAAACTGGGCGAGATATGAGCATTACCGTCCATACAATCACATCGTAAAGGGGGAATAACCATGGGTCTGCTGAAACCGGATGTGTTTGCCTGAGATTCTCAGATATCGCAGTCTAGCTTTTAACCACAACATAGCGTGCAAATCGCCATTTTATTGGCTAATGACGAAGAAGAAGACTAACTAATATATCGGATTATCACCCTCGTATAGAACAGTGCGGTTCACATCAATCATAAAAAGACGTGATGTTGTTTGTTTGAGTGAGTGGGTGAGTGAGAGTGTGTGTGTGTGTCCGTGTGTGTGTCTGTGTATGTATGTGGTGCGCGCGCGTGTGTGTGTGTGTCTGTGTGTGCTTGTGTTTTTGTGCGTGCGTGCGTGTATGTTGGTGAAGGGGTGGTTGTTCAGTTCCATTCGTTGACACAGCAGTTGGTAAAAGGGCAGTTTGTTGTGTGCATCCTTCAGAACTGCACATTCTTCGAAGCCGAGTGGTAATATTGACTGAGCAGTTCTGACCAATGGATAGCGAAAGAAGTCCTTTGCATTCTGATACTCAAACCAGTTCACTTCCGTTTTGTTTCAGGAATTTGCCAAAGGGTCTCGTTCCTTGGTATAATATTGACTGGCTTGCCTCCCTTTGACCAATCAACGGAGTAAGCAAAATCCGGCCGAGCGGTGCCTTCTGCGGATATCTGGAGAAAGGTGTGAACCGAATGGATTGTGAAACCAACTGTGGCATTGCAAGATAATCTTCTTCTTCTTCTTCTTCTCGTTCACCAGCTGTACAATCTGGCGGAAAGTTCTGGTTGCTCGTCCACTACTGAACTACAGTCCTGCTCCAGAACCTGAGTGTTGCGTGTGCATCAGTTTTACAGATCTCATTCTCTTGAATACAGACTGTTGGTTCCTTGCCTCTCCGGTAGATGCACTCCGACTTCAAATGAAGCTCCCCAATTAGTCGACTCTTACGACATGCTTTTGGGGAGGCAGTGGGTCTATTCTTGTTTTTCCCACAATGTGGCCCCGGAACCCACACGGGGGTGCAAGATAATGAGTTGTAGCCAAACGACACAAACCATGAGGGAAAGGGCCCTAAGAGAGGTGGGGTTGAAGGGGGCTCAAGTGGTTTACATCTGGTTTAAGTTGTTACAATTAATATTATTATTATCATTATTATTATTAGTAATTTAACTATTTTTAATACATCAGAAGGAGACAGTCATCATTTTTCGGCCATGTTATGAGGAGAGGGAAAATAGAACATGTTGTGACCACTGGAAAGATATGTGGAAGGAGAGATAGAGAAAGACAACGAGAGAAGATGCTTGACAGTCTTGTTGCATGGCATGGTGGTGTGTCGGCACACGAACTGATACATGCTGCAGGAGATCGCAGATTATGGAGAGGCATGATCGCCCACGCCAGTCGGCAAGGCACCTGATGATGATGAACTATTTTTATTATTGTTATTTTTCTTAAGATTCATGCTGTGTGAAGTTGGTAGTTATGTCTATCTACAACCTTCTGTCTCGTGTACTTTCAACCAACTCTAACACAGATGATCTTCCATGACTTAATGTCAAATCGTCCAGCATATGGTCTCTCAGTCTCCCTCTGCCTCTCCTTCCCTCCTACTTTCCTTCAGGCACGATGTACTCTTATTGTCTCCTTTTCATCACAAGACCAAAGAATGTAGATTGTCTCTTTCTGATGTGGGCAATCAGTTCTCTTCGTAAGTCAGTTTTTTTTCCAAATATCTTCATTACTCTTGTTATTTTTCCAAGGTATTGTCATGATTGATATAGCTTTCAAGAATTCTCTCTCTCTCTCTCGTCTCAATTGACAAAGGAAGATTGCATAAATTATTCTTAATTTTGTAAAATACTGTCTTTGTTTGGGGAGTCGCCATGACCGAGCGGCTAGACGCTCGCCGCGGATCGGAAAGTCGTGGGTTCGCTCCCTAGAAGAGCCGGACTTTTTTCAAAAATGACCTTGGCTCCCAGGTCGACCCAGCTTTGAGTGGGTACCGGGTGCAGTCCCGGGAAAGTAAAAGCGGCCGGCGTGATGCCACATCCCCCATCCTGTGCCGATTGGTCTATAAAAATATAGGTCTAGCCCTATATGCCTAAAGGCGTGATAAAGGGTCCTTTACTGTTGACTTACTGCCTTTGTTTGAGCTGTTCGACATTTAACTTCTTTAATACATCTTCCGTCTGATGTTATCAGGGTACCCAAGTACTTAAACATATCAACTTGCTTGAGGTTTCACCTAATTACTTTGATGTTGCATTATGGAGGGTCGGTTTTCTTTGTAATTGCCATTACCTCGGTTTTTTGTGTGCTATTCCAAGACCCTTGTTTTCACTTTCCGTTACCATTATATCCATCATTTCTTGCAGTTGTGTTTCATTTTCAGCGGTCAACACTATGTCGTCAGCATATTGCATTATTATTATTACTGTTCATATAAATATTATTTTGTGTAGAATGGAAAATAAATATATTAACATATTTGAAATGATTTGAAATGTTTTCCTCGTGTGCGTTCCAGGAGCTCTATTTTGCAGAACAAAGAACAGATCCACTGCTCCCATCAACCCTCCCCCCCCCCACCCCCATCCCGACTTTCTAACAAGCATGTCGTAGGAGGCGACTAATTGGGAGTGTTTCTTTAAAGTAAAAAAGTCATCTGCCTGAGAGGCAAGGAACCAAAAGCCTGCATACAAATTAGCCAGATCTGTAAAACGGATGTGCAAATAACACGGATGTGCATGTAAAACTTCTAAATGAAGACCAAAATCGGGGAGTGGACAAACAACCAGAACTTTCCACCGGAGTTATAAGCCGGTGAACGTTGAGAAGTGGTATGTTTCGAAAGTTTCGTAGCAAATGTGGAATGTATCTCCGGGGCCCCACTGTGGGGAAACAAGAATAGACCCGCTGCCTACCCAACAAGCATGTCGTAGGAGTTAACTAGCTTGGGGGGGGCAGTCGAAGTACATTTGCCTGAGAGGCAAGAAACCAACAGTCTGCATACAAATAAGCCAGGCGTGCGAAATGTATATGCCTGCAAGATGTAGCTTCTGGAAGAAGACTAAAATCTGGAGATGTACGAACATCCAAAACTGTCTGCTGGAGTTTACAGCAGGTGAAAGCGAAGAAGAGATGTGGGAACGAAAAGTGACATGAAAGGGAAGAGGCCAGCTCATATCATATATTGTAGCCTAGAATGTGTGAGAAGACTGAGAATTTGTGCAAATATGTGTCATTTGTGAAATTTCTACTTAATAACAACCACAACAATAATAACCAAATAAAATAATACTTTACAATAAACCTTGTGCAGAAAATGTTGTTCTTCACAAAATGTTATGTGCAATCTATGTGGTTTTTCACAAGAAATTATGTTCAATATATATGATATTTCACAATAGCTTTTCTTCAGTTTACTTCACAAAATCAAAACACGTGCAATGAAAGTGATTTTCAACAAACGCACAAATGCACACACACACGCGCGCGCGCGCACACACACACACACATACATACAAATTAGGAGAGAGAGAGAGAGACAGACAGACAGAGAACAGATACAACAAATAAACCGTACTGTATAAAGTTAACATGACTATTAATAAAATACGCATTACAAATTAAATATATTCTTCTCACACATAGACGCACACATACACACAGACAAACAAACATAGACACGCACACGCATAAACACACGCACACACATAAGAGCACATACATTAAAAAATCTTTCATTAAAAGATAGAAACATGCACAATGAAAGTATCTTTTACACACACACACACACACACACACACTCATTTACACAAGCACACACACACACACACACACACGAGCACACACACACACACGAGCACACACAATCACATACACACACAGGCCAGCACAAATACATAAGCACACACACAAGCAAGCACACACACAAGCACACGCACACAAGGACACACACACAAATACATACACAAGCGCGCGCGCACACACACAGACAGACACACACACACACAAGCGCACACAACCCATATGTATGAAAGAGACAAAACATTAGTGTTGGTCGTACGTAGATAGTTTCGCGTTGTTAAACACACCATTAAACATTAAAA